CTCCGCTCGGCCGCCCCTCCTCCCCGCGGCTCGACGGCCGGCGGGCGCGGGGCTCCCGGTGGGCCTCGAGTCGTGCGCGGTGGTAAAGTCACCTCCCTTCCAGGGCGGAGAGTCCCGGAGGGAACTCGGGGGTCCGCAGGGCCGCGCGGGGCGCACGGTCTGCCCCGCTCCGGAGCCGCCCGGCGTGTGGCCCTCCTTAGCGCCTCTCGGGCCGCCCGGCCAGCGCTGCGGGGTCGCGATAAGACCTCGGCCCGGCTGCCGCCGTCGGCGGAGCCTGATTAGAAGGCGGGGAGGCGAGTCGAGCCCGGGGTCCCGGTCCCGGCCCCCCTGCTGTGTTTCCCGTTGCCCTTCTCGGAGGAGCCCCCGGAGGCCACCTGGCCGCTTCTAGACACACGGTACCGTAGCAGGCTTGTGAGCATTATCACGAGCGCCCGCGCCTGTAGATGACATTCTAGCGTCTTCCTGCCACAGTCCACGACACCCAGGGGCCCCGTTAAGCTCTTCACACGTATTGAAACTCAGTTCGTGAAAACCTTGGGAGCTGGAACAGGCTCCGCATCCCTCACCGGAAATGCTTTGGACTATATTTTGGATGTGTTTGTGCCCACCCATCTGGCGCTTGAACTTAGCCTGGGTGCTGAGTTAACTTTTTCCCCCCATCAAGTCTAGCTCTCTACTACTTGAACCCACAGTTCCATTTCTGGCGTTTTGTTAATTTGAGATTAGTGACCTACTCGGCCCTCTAGGATTACAGGTGTGAGCCATGGGCTCCTGACTAATGAGAACCTTTATTGAATTTATCTTGTTAAATTTCATTATTAGGTTACAGTTCCATAAGTGAGGTTATGAGTACATCTTGGTCATTGTCACCCCTTCCCCCCTCTCTCAGCCCTACCCAATGAGAGAATTTTTAGCGAGGGATTACCTGGATTTTGAACTCAAGGTCTCCTGCTTGGTTTTGTTTTTGTTTTTTGGTCTCACTGCTGGCACCTGTACCATTTTGAGCCACTTCCAGTTACCACTTTTGAATGGTTATTCAGAAGTTTGATAATTTTCTGCCTGGGTTGGCTTCAAACCCCAATTCTCTGATCTCAGCCTTCTGAGTAGCTAGGATTACAGGTCTCAGCCGCCCATGGCCTGGCTGAACCGGTCTTTTTGTGTGTGTGTGCTGCTTCCAAGGCTTCTGGCCTTGAGCTGTTGTTAAATTTTTGCTCTTATTTGTTTTTGTTTTTTTAGTTGTACTTGAGGTTTGGGGGTAAGTGTTCTTTTCCATTTCACAGTTTTGTGGCCTCGCAGAATACTAAGCACTTGGTGCACTGTTTCAGGCTGGAATTCCCCAGCCTGGTGGGGTAGATGTTAGGGAAGGTGGTGGTGGGATCAAGAGGAACTAGGAGGTGGTTAGGAGTCCTCTTGTGATGGATTACTCATCTCTTCTCTTGTCAAGGTAGAGTAGGAAGAAAAGCTTCATGATGAATTTTTTCAGGTTAATAGCCATTGCCTGATTTGGGGACAAGAAAAAGATTTCCTTTTTTGGGTTTGGTTCTGTGTTTTTGCTTTTATTTTTTGTAAATTAAGCTTTTTCTTCTAAGTTTTTTTTCCCTCCCCTGAACTCTGAGCCTGGACACTGTCCCTCAGCTATTCAGCTCAAGGCTAGCACCCTACCATTTGAGCCATGGTGCCACTTCTGGCTTTTTCTGCCTATGTGGTACTGAGGAATCTATCCCAGGGCCTCATG